TCTCTCTCTCTCTCTCTCTCTCTCTCTCTCTCTCTCTCTCTCTCTCTTAACTGCCTGCAGATCAAGACGTAGAACTCTCAACTCCAGCACCATGTCTGCCTGTGTACTACCATGCCTCCCATGTTGTCCTGGTGTCTCTTATAAGAGTTGTTGTGGTTATGGTGTCTCTTCACAGCAATAGAACATTGACTAAAACAGATACTAAGAAAAGAAGAGACCCCAAGCACACTGAGACCATGGATATGGGATTCTCTAAAGCAAAGTCCCAGAAAGTGAGATATCCCCTAGTATACATATGGGCTCCTTAAGAGAGTCACAATTATTTGTTATAGTATTAGCCATAAATATCATTTTGGTGGCTCTCAGATAACATCACAAAAGCTTGCTGAGAAATCTTTTGTTTTCTCAATTTTTCTTAAGTGAGATAAGTGAAGTGACTTCTCGGATGCCTTGGATGGATCTCTAATCGGATAAAGTACTAAGAACCACTGTGGTTTGCACAAGGAGTTCAGTATGTGTTGTTTGCCTGTAAATGGAATTCCTGATGAGATTCCTGGGGAAATTGCAAGTTTATAGATAGCTGCCGAGTGAGAAGATGCTTGAGCAGGTGCTAATTGTGCTGGGATTCTTGGTTTTGTGTTGGTGATGGAATTCAAGAAGACTCCAGAGTGACTCTTCTGGTGAGGGAGAGAGAAAGGGTGTGAATGTAAGTGGGAAAGGAAGTGGGAAGGAGCTGGGAAGAATTGCGGGGGGCGGGGGGAGTGGAAACTGATCAGAATATGATGTGTGAAAAAATGCTTTTGATAAAAATATTTAAAATAAAAGTCAAATGGGTTCCAGGATAAACATTGTGGTGGTTTGAATAAAAATGACCCTATAGACCCATAGGAAGTAGCACTAATGGTAAGTGTGGCCTTGTTACGGTAGGTATAGTTTTATTGGAGGAAATGTGTCAGTGAGGGTGGGCTTTGAGGTCTCAGAAGCTCAAGCCAGGCCTAGTGTGGCTGCCATTCTCTTCCTCTTGCCTGCAGATCCAGATGTACAACTCTCAACTCCTTCTCCAGTGTCATGTCTGACTTTATGCCACCATGTTTCCTGCCATGATGATAATGGACTAAACCTCTGAAACTGTAAGCCAGCCCCAATTAAATGTTTTCCTTTATAAGAGTTTCTGTGGTCATGTTGTCTCTTCACAGCAATAGAAACCCTAACAAAAACAAACATAAAGTACTATTTCATATGAAATAGTATTGTTTGGGGGTAGAAGTGGTTGTTGTATATGGAGATACGTAGAAGCAGTTCAGGAATAGACTTTGAAGGTCTTTTCTTGGTTTTGCTCATTTGTTAATTTTGCTATGCTAAGAATGGAACTTGATATTTCTGCACAGTAAACAAGTGTTCTACCAATGAGCTACATATCAGGCCTAATCTTTAAGGTTTTAAAATAAATGTATCCATCACTAAAAAAAAATATTGACTGTTACTGCCCTAGTTGGTGGTGTGAACCTGAGAGAGTGGGACCTAATAATGAGGCACACTAAAGTCTCATGCAATAACTAACTTTATTCAACGTATCAGATAATTTGTATTCTGAGAATATTCTGAGAATTAAACAAGGCCTTGAGCAAAGTTCCCATAAGTTAAGGCTGTATACACTCACAAGGACAACCCATGCTTGAAAACATTTTTGAATAAAAAAGTAAAATGATGGGTAACCTGAAGCAAAACCCACTTCTGTTCTCCACACCTGGAAAGGGCACAAATCACATGCCAAGAGGAACCCATGTTCTGGAGAATCAGAGGCTACAAGATTCTTGTCTTCAGCAATAGAACCTTATCATCGGGTATAGAAGGTAACCGATAGCATTGGCAATAGCCTATACTTTTAGTGAGGTAGTTCTATGAGGCTACTTTGGCCAGTGACTCAACATGTAACCCATCCTAGCACTGGGGGGTTTTACCTGGTAGCGTAAGCTGTTTAAATTCATTTCATATATGTATATATTTCAGGAAGTTTCTGCAGTTGTATGTTTCCATATGGCTTCTCAAAAGGATTTCGGTGGTAGGTGTCCCTTCACATAGTCCCTCCTTCATCTGCCCTTCTACCCAAACCCATTTAATCCTCCTATTCTGATTTCTATTCTTTGCAAGGTTCCCCTCCTCCCCACCACACCCCCTGCCCGGCCTCTTACAAGCAACCTAAACTCTGTAGTTATTCTAACTGAAGCACACATATTTAAAGATTAAAAGATAACATCCACATATAAGAAAAAAAATGTAATGTTATCTTTCTGGGTATGGGTTACCTCACTCAATATAGTATTTAGCTACATCCATTTAGCTGCAAATTTTACAATTTTATTTCTCTTAACAGCTGAATGATGTTCAATTCAATAAATGTTATCATATTTTCATTATCCATTCACAAGTTGATAAACATCTAGGTTCTCATCAGTTGCTGACAATTATTCATAGAGCCACAATAAACATGGGTGAGTAAATATTTCTGTTGAAAGATGTACAATCCTTTGTCCAAGAGTGGTATAGCTGGACCTTGAGGCAGCTTAATTTTCACATTTCTGAGGAGTATGCACACTGATTTCCATGGTGGATATACCAGTTTACACTCCCACCAGAATGAATAACTGTTTCTCATTCCCCACATCCTTGTCAGCCTGTGATGTAATTTATATTATTAATCTTGGTCATTCCCATTGGGGTAAGGTGAAACATCAAGGGAATTTGATTTATGCTTCCATATAGGCTAAGTAGTGAGCATTTAAAAGTATTTCTTAACCATCTGTGATTCATTTTTTGAGAACTCTCTGCTGAGTTCTATACTCCATCTTTTAATTTGGTTATGTGTCTTCTTGATGGTCCATTATTTTACTTCTTTGTATATACTAAATACTAATGTTCTGTCTGGTGCATAATTGGTAAAGATTTTTACTAATATGCAGGCTGCCACTTTGCTCAAATTATGGTGTACTTTACTGTATAAAAACCTTTTTAGCTTCATGAAGTCCCATTTATTAATTGCTGGTCTTAATGACTATGTTACAGTGTTCTGTGCAGAAAATCCTTTCTGGTCCCAATGAGTTCAAGTCTATTACCTAATTCCTCTTTTATCAGATTTAGAATATCTGGTCTGATGTTGAAGTCTTTGATCAATTTATAGCTTAGTTCTCTGCAGAGTTATAAACACAAATCCATTTTCGTTCTACATAAGTCCATCCATTTTGATGAGCACCATTTGTTGAAGATGCAGTCTTTTCTCCAGCATGTATCTTTTGGCTTCTTGATAAAATATCAGATGTCCATAGGTATATAGCATTATTTCTGGGTCTTCAGTTCTGTTGATCATCATGTCTGTTTTTATGCCCATGCCATGTTGATTTTATTGCTATAACTCTGTATTTGAAATCTGGGATCATAATACATCCAAAGGGGCTGTACCAGTTTTTACACCCACCAGCATGGAGGAGTGTTCCCTTTACCCCACATCTTCTCCAGTATAAGCTGTCATCAGTGTTTTTTATCTTGGCCATTCTGGAAGGTATAGATGGAGTATCGGAGTTGTTTAGATTTGCATCTCTCTGATGAATAAGGATGTTGAGCATTTCCTTAAGTGTCTTTCAGCTATTTGAGATTTGTCTGTTGAGAGTTCTCTGTTTAGGTCTGTACTGGTGTGGGAGAATTATCTGTATTCTGTCAATCATGTATTTTAATAAAACGCTGATTGGCCAGGCAGGAAGTATAGGTGGGTCAACTAGACAGGAAGTATAGGCGGGGTGATGAGAACAGGAGAAGGCTAGGAAGGAGGAATCTCCCTTCGCCATTTCTGCCCAGACCACCGAAGAAGCAACATGTGAGCTGACAGCTGAAAAAGGTACCAAGCCATATGGCTAACGTAGATAAGGATAATGGGGTAATATATGTTATAAGAGCTAATAAGTAGCCAGAGCTAAGGGCCAATCAGTTTATAATCTTAAGGAGTCTCTTTGGGGCATGCTGGCTGTGGAGTACCGGGCAGGACACAGACCCCAACAAGCAGGTCCCCTCATGTTACACTGTACCCCATTTTTTTATTGGATTATTTGTTCTTTTGATGTCAAGTTGCTTGAATTCTTTGTATATTTTTGGAGATCAGTCCTCTGTCTGATCTGGGGTTGGTGAAGATTTTTCCCATTCTGTAGCCTGCCACTTTGTCTTGTTAGCTGTGCCCTTTGCTTTACAGAAGCTTTTCAGTTTCAGGAGGTCCCATTTATTAATTGTTGCTCTCAGTGTTATATTACTGGGGTTATATTTAGGAAATGGTCTCCTGTGCCAATGTATTTAAGTGCACTTCTCACTTTCTCTTCTATGAGGTTCAGTGAGTTTGGTTTTATGTTGAGGTCTTTGATCCATTTGGACTTGAGTTTTGTGGATGGTGATAAATATGGATCTATTTTCATTCCTCTACATGTTGATATCCAGTTATGCCAGCACCATTTGTTGAATAAGCTTTCTTTTTTTCCATTTGATATGTTTAGCTTCTTTTTCAAGAATCAGATATTCATCGAAGTGTGGATTGATAGCTGGGTCTTCGATTCGATGCCATTGGTCCTCCTGTCTATTTTTATGCCAATACCAAGATGATTTCATCATCACCCTTCCCAGTAGCTACAAATAACATAAAATATCTTGGGTTAACTCTAAACAAACAAGTGAAAGACTTCTATGACAAGAACTTAAAGTCTTTGATGAAAGAAGCTGAAGAAGACACCAGAAAATTGAAAGATCTCCCATGCTTTTGGGTAGGTAGAATTAACATAGTAAAAATAGCAATCTTACCAGAAGCAATCTACATTTCAATGCAATACCCATCAAAATCCCAGCAAAAAATTCTTCACAGACCTCAGAAAAACAATACTCAACTTCAAATGGAAAAAAACCAGGATAGCCAAAGTAATCCTGTACAATAAAGGAACTTCTGGAGGCATTACCATCCCTGACTTCAAACTCTACTATTGTGCTGCAGTACTGAAAATAAGTCTTATCTGTGGATATAAGGATAGGAATTTAGAAAGCAGTTAGGAAAGTGGCAGTAGTAGGTTCTTTTCTAGGGTCAATGACCTTATCAGCCGTGGGAAGTTGGCTAAGTATACAGTAACAATCATAAATTCCCTCCTATTGAGAAAGTAATAAGTCCAATTATACAGCCCCATTGTTCACCTCCGAGATTAGGTGTCAGTGTTGTACCCTTGAGTATACCTTGCTACGCTGATCATTACTGTTATTCACAGGTTTTATATCTGGGTAGGATTATTAATCACTTTTCTCCAATGGCAGAGTTCATAGCATTTTCCCATACTATTAGAGCTAATGCTCAAGGAGGAAGCTCTCAGGTCAGCTCCACCCTGATTCTTTCAAGGACTGTGATGGAAGTGTGTGCTAACTTCAGCCATAGGATCTTCCCTTCAAGTTGGTTGAGGCCACCAAGGGAGATAGAAATAGCCCAAATTGTTTTTGGAATCCCTTAGACTCCCCTGACCAACAAACTGAAGGGAGGTTTCTCGCACCTGGCACTGGGGTTTTGCTAAACAATCTATGGTTCTAGGGAAAGAAAGCATTATCATCCCATATAATGAAATTTCATTTAATTTATTTGTATATTTTTGATTTAAAAATCTTTAATTCTTTTGTTACATTTATTTTAAAACTTTTTATACACTGTATTCTGATCATATTGTTTACCCTCCCTTAACTCTTCCTAGATCCTCTTCTGCTTGCTGCCCACTCAACATCATGTTCAGGTTCTTTCTCTATTTCTCTATTAAAAGTCCCCCTAAAAAAACAGAAATAGAAATAAACAAACAAAACCAATAAGGCAAAAAAAGCTGAAACAAAACACAAACCAAAAAGCGTGCGCGCGCGCGCACGCGCACACACACACACACACACACAAACAAAACCATGGAGTCCATTTTCTTTGCCCAGCTTCTCTTGAGCGTGGGTCCTGGCCCTGTTGTGTGCTGGACATAGCCAGAGTCACTCCAATGGAGCAAATGGATTTTTCCCTTTGTCAGT